ATGTAAGGTCTGGTCCATTAAGCTCTGGTGACTCCAGTTTTGGCATTCTGAGGAATCCTTGTTTGGGTGAGGTCATTCAGATTGTTTTAACAGCCTTACAGACCATTCTCATCTGGCATTTTGACCCAAGGAATCTAGGGGATACTCTAGGAACTCAATGTAAGGGAGAAACTGGTGAAGGGCTGCGAGGGATCTTGTCACCTGAGAGGATGGAAATGGTGGCTCTGCAGATCCAGACAGATCCTTGCTAGTTCCAACTCACTCAAGGCAACCATCTTAACCTAACTGAAATTCTATTTGAGAAAGATCCTAGAGACATTTGGTTTTGAGGAATCTTTTTTTTTAAAGATTTATTTATTCATGAGAGAGAGAGAGAGAGAGGCAGAGACACAGGCAGAAGGAGAAGCAGGCTCCATGCCGGGAGCCCGATGCGAGACTCGATCCTGGGACTCCAGGATCGCACCCTGGGCCAAAGGCAGGTGCTAAACCGCTGAGCCACCCAGGGATCCCCGATCCTAGAGACATTTGGGAAGTCAAGGGCTCTGAGGGTTCCATTTATAAAAGTCCCTTCTGGCCCCTGAACCACAGCAGAGTATGTGTTCTCTCTGGCTGGAGACAGCCTCAAACGTGCACCCCCTTGTCTATGATTCTCTGCTGCGTTAAGTTTCCCAGAGTCCTCCATTCTCTGCTTGGGCAGGGAGTTGTCCTTACCTTTGCAGGGATCCAGGGCTTCTCCAGGCTCAGCTTATACACACTGGCCTGCAGCTTAATACAAAGCACTTGGGCCCCTGTTGTGTCCCCAGGGGGTTGTGAAATCTTGGAGGCCCAGTGGGAAGAACCATGAGGACTACTTGCTTTATGTTCTCCTCACTGCCTCAATTTACCTGCAAGCTATTCTCTAAGGTGGAGCATTCTAGAACACATGGGATGATATCTGGTGGGATGGGGGAGATTCTGGAGCAATATTTTCCCCAGGTGTTTAGATTCTGAAGGAGTCCTAAGTACAGATACTCCTTGGGACAACCATAGTTTGTTCCTGAACTCCTTTATCTTTATAAGACTTCCCAAATGTATCTCCAGGAATTTCTTTTTCAGGTAAAAATTCAGTTTGGCCAAGATAGGTATCTTGAGTGATGAGGGGACTGCAGGATGTCTGGCTCTCTAGAGGCACCATCTCCATTCACGTGTACTTCAGTCTGGAATGCTGGCCGACTATCTGCACAAGTCTCACTGGCATATTGAAAGCCTGAGGCAGGACTTTCACATTGGTGTTTAGATGATATTGAGCCATAGGTTTTACTGGGCCTCCAAAAGACCCAGGCATACTTTTGTGATTGGAGATTGGCTAGTTATTGACAGGGCCATGGCCTTGGAGAAAGCCACATAATAAAAAGCTGGAAGGCCTGACAGTAAGGCCAAAACTCGTCTCCAGTTTTTCAGTGGCTCCTTGAGAAGATACCTGGGCAGATGCTGGTCAAGATGATCAGTGACAGTATCAGGAGAGGCCTGTTACTGCTATCAAGGCCTATCAATACTGAGGATGTTGCTTTATGATCCATGTAGGGGCTAATAGCCACCTCCATGTCTAGGGACTTACTTTCTGAGCATGAGAGAACCAAATTCCTGTCAAGCCCCTTGGAATGCTGCAGACCTAATGATTTGCGGTCCTAACAGCTGCAAATGTGGGCAGGAACAAATGCCCTAGCACATCGTCCCATGCTTGTAGTCACTGTAGCTCTGCAACATTGCAGTAGCCAGGGCAAGCAACTGTAGACCAGCCCTACTGCCACGATGAATCATAACAGGTCGATATCCCCACTGGCCTTTAGGTATGCAAGCTAGGGGATACTCATACTGGCCAGGGTGCTGCTCTTGGGCAGGGGCTGCTGGTCAGCAGGAGACAGGTGCAACTCTTTGGACTGATGTATCTTCTGGGGCAGGCTCTCACAATAATGAATCAACTTGCTAAATCAACTGCTTCTGAAAGTAGAACTCTAGCAGCTCTGGGTATGTTCCAGGGAAATATCACCTCTCTCTTGAAGACTGAAATGGGCTTCTCCTAACAGGCCCCTGGGGACAGGAAGAAACATGTCTCAGGGCTTATTTTATATGGTTCTCTGCATCTACAGAGATTTCTGGGCAACAGCTGAGAAGTTCCACTGAAGATGTGACTGCCTTTCCCCTGGTGCCACTCTAAGGCTTCACACTTGGCCAGAGAAGGAAATGAGATATTGATATGGGTTTATTGTTAATCAAATGTGGAAGCCCAAATTTGAGAATGTGGGAGAAGGTGGGGCTAACTTAAGTGGAGAAGATTTTAGACAGAGATTACAAAGTAGTTATTGAACAAAAAGGGACTGGGGCTCCCCTTTTGTGGAGAGATCTTTATTGGCAGACCAGGACTCATTGTGCAGAAAATAGGAACCATAGGAACATAGCTAGGTTTCTGCTGTAGATAGCACACTGAGGCCTCAGTGGATCCTCTGGTCAATGGATGGAGACCACTTAGAAACTGAAATGTAGTAGAGGGTAGAGCTAGAGCCGTGAAGTTTGCTATTTACTTGCAGCGGTATTTGCTCTGGGTTCATAGTGGATCTTTCTATAACTCAGAAAGTTTGGGTAGACTGGCTCAATCATGAACCCAGGTCAGAAAGGTAGCCTATATTTTCAAACGAGACCTTAGAGGTGACATTATGATGAACGAAATGGTTGTTTTTCCAGGCTTGGAAAACATTTGGACTATGTCTTATAAGCTGCCATAGGAACTCTTCTAAAGATCTTAGCAGCCTCCTCAGGTATAGAAATGCATTCATTTATATACATGTGCTTAAAGATGACTCAGGGACTTTGGGGAAATAGGAGCATGCAAGGCAACAGGGTATTTTAGCTTCATGAGCTCTGAAATCAGGGAAAGAAAGAGAATCAGATATTTAAGGGCAGCTGACCTTGTTTCTCCAGCACACATACAGGGTAGCTCTTCCTCTTGTCCTGCTGATTCACAGGAGTCCTAGGCTCCTCACTTGAAGAAGACAGAGTTCCTGTATCCCTGGACACATCTGGCACTTGATATCCCTTCCTTCGCTGGAGGCATTCACCTTGGATATCTTGGATGCTGACACTGGTCGACTGGGCAGCTGACTGTATTAAGCATTTCTGATCTGTTAATTGTGACTTTGTAGGGCTTACAGATGGAAGTGAAAGAGCTTTGGAGTGCAGGGAACTCTGACTCTGCTCCAAAGAGAGACAAGAGGAGCCCTGCGATGGCCCCGATGAAGAGGGAGAGGTCAGGGTTTTCTCACCTGACAGTAACTGCTGAATCTCCAGAGCCACAGCATTGCAGATGGGGCAGGAAGGATCTGCACACAGGAGCCGCCGCACACTTCCCTCCTTAGGAAGCCAGCCCTGGCTAGGAAGGGAAGATGGCAACCGTTACTGATGGACTGACACCTGCCTCTCTGAATGTGTGTGACCTGGAGATTTGGCCTACCTTCCCCTAGTCCTGGAATCCCAGGGCATTTACCCATCTCCTTTTCTTCCTAGGAAAATGCCATTGGCAAGTTATGTTGGACTGGTTTGGACTGAGGGCTGGAGCTTGTTAGGCAAGGTCTCAGATAATGATGGAACCACAGGCCATGAGAGACACTGGGAGGTGGGGTGCATTTACTGTTGGTCTGTGTTGAGAAGCTACACCAGGAGAAGGGAACCAGGCAGAAGTGGGGAGCCAATGGCTGGCTGAGGGGCAGCACCAGGAACATTACCAGGGGGAACCTGCAGTCAGTCTCTTCTGGAGCTAAGAAGACCACAGACTGGCATTCAGTATTTCTAAGCTGTGGAAAATGAGGTCTTTGTGGGAACTCTGCATTGTGGGGACTATGGGGTGTCCCAGTTCCTGTACATAGTATCTCTTGAGAGCTAATTCCCTTCCTTAGAGATTTTAGGAAGAGGTTAAGATGACAGACTCTTTTCTGAGGGCTGTCCCAGGAATTGGCCTCCCTGAAGACAAAACCATGGAAGTAATGTCAGCAGGTTTTATGGGTCTGCCCTTGAATGGTTGCAACAGGAATATGACAATGGTGATTTATTTATATATGCATTTATCTATTCTCTTGATTGGATAACTTGTCTTGTGGCTGAGTGCAAACTCATGTAGAGTCTTCAATGAATTACATACTAGCAAAATCCTGACTTTCAGGACCACTGTGAACCTAGCCTAGAGCAAAACTGGGAGACTCCCTGTCCTGAGACACCTGATCCCCCTCTGCCCTGGCAACTCTCTCAACCAGTGCTCAGCATCCACTGTCTGACTCCCTCCGGGACATTTTCCCTCTCTTGGTCCCTGCCACAGGCCAACCAGAGAAATCGTCCCAGGCCAGGCTGGGGATTTGGAGAATGCAAAGAGCAAGTAATTACCTTCTCATGACAGAGAGCAGCTCCCATGGCTTATCAGCTTCTCGGGACAGTCTCTTGCCTGAGAAACCAAGAAACAGTGTTAGAAGGAATGAGAGGATGCAGGGACATCCTATAGGAAGCTAAAGGCCTTTGAGGAAGAGGAGGCTGAAAAGCGCAACAATCAATGCTCTATGGCACATATGAATACAACTTAACCCACTGCACCATGCTGTCCTAGACCTCATTTTATTTGATCATCACAGCCACACTGGGAGTGAGGCAGGATCATGAGATGCCCATTTCATGGATCACAGACTGAGAGATGAAGTCATTTCCACAGGGTCATAAAACTAGTAAATGACACAGCTGAGGGCTTCTGTCCTTCTATATTTTTCATTCTCAAGGGCAGGTGTAATGTAGAGAATTTTGGAACATTCCCAGGCTCTGATTTCCCACCCAAGAAAGTGTTCTGGGAGAAATTGTCAACTGAGGCAACTGGAGCCTTCAGTGGTTAGAGCACCTAGTTACTGGCTACAGGGCTCATAGAGGGACAGGAATGAGGGGAATCTTGCCCATAGTGAGGGGAGTCTGAGGAGAAACTAGGACTTTACCTCTTGATGTTTTATCTTTAGCCCTTTGTCTGACTCTCCGGTGACACTTGAAAACAAAAAAGTTAGAGTTAAGCCAGGGCACCTTTAACTTTTTGCGTCTAAAATGAGACAAAGTAATTAAGTATTTCCCAAACTTCTATATTCCAATTTTATATACTTTCCTACCATTCTTTTCTTTACCTTATGTCTTTTCACCCATCATTTCCCTTCTCTTATTATTAATTCATTTTGAGGCTCTCCTATACACCATACCTCTACCCCCCATTCCCTGAACAAGTTCTGTGGGAGATCAGAATGAGACAGGAGAAAAGAGGAATAGATTAAAGGATAAGGGGTCTAGTAGCCAAGGGATTTTAGCTATCCAAGGTCCTGAATGTCTCCCAAACCAGTAGTAAACCCAAAATTGGAGCTATTCTGAGATCCATGAAGAAACCCCCATAAAAAAAAGTAAGGGTAAGGGTAATAGGAGAAAGTAAGGGAATAAAATCTTGTTTGAAGCTTAATCAGTTCAGTCGTGGTCATTGTGTTTCCCTACCCGGCAACAGCTCCTTTTAGGTCCCAACCTTAATTCTTGGTGGCTCTTTTTCACTTGCCAAATAATTAATGCAATAATAATGATGGAGCTATAAGTGTATAAGGGATATCCAACATCCCACAGAAGAAAGGTAGGGCTCAACATAATCTAAGCCTCACTAGCCATCTCTCTTCCTAGGCTTTCAGGGACTTGGAACCTAATGCCTCCAAATTCTAGACCCTGTCATCTCTGCCTCACAGGAGATGGAACCAGATCACCAGACTACATCACAAAGCTCTCCTATTTCCAAAGGCATGCAGAGCATTAGAGGCCTTTATTTGTCTGGGAGAAGCTCATGTGATTCAGTGTTCAGATGAGGATGTCTGATTGTCTGTACGAGTTGCAGAGCCTGGGCCCTAGAGGTGCCAAGGTCATGGGCAGCATATACTCTTTCATGCTCTGTTCCCTATAACATGATGGCTTAGCTCTCTCCTTTAGACAACAGTCTGGCATCTATCCTTAGATACGTTAGTCTTTATGTACACCCTATAAGAGAGAGAATGGTTAGGTCAGAGGAACTCCATGAACATGCATTATCTTGTTAAGTGTTAGAAAGTGAGGATTTTGATGTCATAAGCAATCGGTGGTCAGTATTAAGAGGTTCAAGAAAAGGGTCATGTCTGATATGTCAAGGAAAGGATACAGCTGCTGTCTTTTAAAATAGCTTTCTGGGGCAGCCTGGTGGCTCACTGGCTTACTGCTGCCTTCAGCCCAGGGTGTGATCCTGAGACCTGGGACCCCAGACCCCAGGATCATGCCCTGAGTCAAAGGCAGATGCTCAGCCACTGAACCACCCAGGCATCCCAGGGCAAGCTTTTTCCTTTTCAACCTCAGTTACCCACCACACCTATGTCCACTGATTCACATATTAATGTTAACTTCATGGCCCATGTCGACATTGTGAGATGGCTCCAGTACCCTACAACTTCTGAATTTCCATAAGTTCTTGCCCTGATGAGAGTGGTCCCGCACCTCCAAATTCAGCTCAAAATCTGAAAGTACTATTTGGTCCCTCCTCCAGCATCCTGTCCATCACCAGACAGGTATGGTGAGCACTCAATCTGTGTTCATCACTAAAGTGGGCAGTATCAAAGGCACAAAGACATTGAGTTGTGTTACCTGCCTTCTCTGAAGACACTTAAAAACCTAGTTATCGGGATGCCTGGGTGGCTCAGTGGTTGGGCATCTGCCTTTGGCTCATGGCGTGATCCTGGGGTCCGGGATTGACTCCCACATCGGGCACCCTGTGAGGAACCCACTTCTCCCTCTGCCTATGTCTCTGCCTCTGTGTTGTGTGTGTGTCTCTCATGAATATATAAATGCAATCTTTAAAAAAATACTTATTTATGAGAGAGAGAGAGAGAGAGAGAGAGAGAGAGAGAGAGAGAGAGAGGAGAGAGAGAGAGGCAGGGGAGGGGCAGAGACACAAGCAGGCTCCATGCAGGGAGCCTGACACAGGACTCGATCCCGGGTCTCCAGGATCATACCCTGGGCTGAAGGCAACGCTAAACCGCTGAGCTATCCAGGCTGCCCCAATAAATAAAATCGTTTTAAAAAACCCTAGTTATGGGATCCCTGGGTGGCGCAGCGGTTTAGTGCCTGCCTTTGGCCCAGGGCGTGATCCTGGAGACCCGGGATCGAGTCCCACGTCGGGCTCCTGGTGCATGGAGCCTGCTTCTCCCTCTGCCTGTGTCTCTGCCTCTCTCTCTCTCTCTGTGTCTGTGACTATCATAAATAAAAATTAAAAAAAAACCCTAGTTACAAAGAGAAGAATGAATCAAGAATCAATCTTAATCAAGAATCAAGGTTGAGGGAGGGGGAATTAGGGAGTTATTATTCGCTTGGTACAGAATTTCTGTTTGGGATGATGAAAAATTTTGAAAATGGATAGTGGAGATGACTGCACAATGATACATTTAAAGAGTGTTAAAATGGTAAATTTTACGTTAAGTATATATACCCAATTTAAGAAACAAAAGGCAAAAAAAAAACCCATTACCAATAATTAGTATGAGATATTTTTTACTAACTTGAAGGAAGAATACTCTGAAATGGAAGAAAATGGAAATGGAAATAAAAATATGGATCATGAATGTTTTTCTTTAGTGTCATTTTTATATAGAATAAAACAAAATACATCCTTATGTTTAAGATAATTTAAGAGGAGTCTCATCTGATTATGGGATGAATTTGAGCTATTTTAACATCTTTCCTGAACTTGCAAATTCCACACTACAAATAAGAGAAGCCTTTTTCAACCAAAGATCACTGAATGTCAAACTGATAAACAGCTTGCATCACCTTTTTAGTAGCAGGTTGAGATACCTACAGTGTAGCTTGAATCTTTAACTTTTATTATTCCTACCCAACCAGCTCCTGCTTCCTGCAGCTTCTTTCTTTGCAACTACAACGGTTCTATCTTCCATTAACATGACCTAATGTGGTCCAGCATGGTGTTTGGTATCCTCCCCCCTGGGCTGTGACTATATATGATTAATAAAACTACTGTCAATCTCATAGGTGCAGTGTCGAGTGTCATGAGTTCAGTCAGGTCCAGAACCCAAGGACACTCCCTCCCTCACCAATGGGATGAAGAGGTGAACAGAATATTTTATCTCTTCCCCAACCAGCTCTGCTTCCTGCAGCTGCTGCTGCCTTTTCACTGCTGAAACAGTTCTCAGTCTCCCATTAGGCTAACCTCCTGGCCACAAGAAAACTATTAGATTGTGCAAACTTTGCACCTGCTCCAACCAGTGTACTCTTTACCCGGCAGATAACCCACAGCCAGTGCCATCCTACTAAGCCATTAAAACCATCTGCTGCCAACTCCTCTGCAGCATCTCACTCACCCTTGTTCCTCTGTCTCCAGACTCAGGAGTTAGAGCCAAAGATAATCTTATGTGTTTTTGCAGAGTAGGCCTTTAGTACAGGTTTATTTACTGGTTTGGTACTCATTGACAAAAGGTGCTTGAGTGGTTAGGACAGGGGAATCAGTGTATTTCCAAACAAAGGTGCATTCATGTAATGAACACATCAACAATACAGGCATGGATCTTCATATTTTCCCTTCCTGCTTCAGTTTATAGTGAAGAGTACACAAGGAAGACGAAGTACCTGAAAAGCCTCTATGGACTCTGGAGGGGTATACAACTATAAATTCATACTCATTTGTTTCAAGAAAATTTCTCAAAGCCAGACTCTGCTGCATGTTTTTTTTTTTTTTAAATTTTATTCATTTGAGAGACAGAGAGAGAAAGAGAGCACAAGAACAGGGGGAAGGAGCTGTGCTGTGTCTCAGTATCAGAAAATATTACTGAACATCTTAGATGAGCCAAGGTGCTGGGGACAGAGAAGCACACTATTCAGCAGCAATATTTTTATACATGAGTGTTTTTATCAATGCTCAATAGTTAAAATTTGCGGGGAGTTGGACAGGAAACCCCCTGTTAGTGTCAGGCCCCAAACCACCAGTGTTCAAGCAGCAGGTTAGTGTGCATTAAGTGTAGCAAGCAACCAGAGGCACTAGAGGGCAGCACCTGCCCACCCAATGCTCCTAGCCCAGAAAACTTCGCGACAAACTTTAAAAGGTCCACTGTTCCAGTGGCTCTCAATCCTGGCCTTATATCAGACTCACTGGGAAGCCTGTAATAATATAGATTTCCTGGCCTCATCCCAGACTTAATGAGTCAGAATATCTAGGGGCAGGGTCCAGCAATCTATATATTAAGTATCAAAAATAACTCTAAAGCAATAAAGCACTAAGGTCTGAGTGTATATTTGGGAAATACTGGCAACAGCCAACCCCCAACCTCGGTTTTACTGAGATATAATTGACATATAGTATTGTATTAGTTTAAGGTGTGCAACATAATGATTTATACATAAATATATTGATAAATTCTCATCACAGTAAATTTAACATCCATGTCCTCACAGTTAAAATTTTTTATGATGAAAATTTAAAAATTAAATCTACTCTCTTAGCAGCTCACAAATATACGATATATAGTATTGTTAACTATGGTCATCATGCTGTATATTAGATCCCTAGAACTTACTAATCTTATAATTGGAAGTTGGTACCTTTTAACTATCTTCCTTCCTTTCCTCCATCCTCTACCTCCTGCCACTGACAGCCACAAATCTCTTTTCTGTTTCTGTCAGTTCAGGATTCTTTTTAGATTATACATAAAAGTGAGATAACACAGTATTTGTCTTTCCCTGTTTATTTTCACTTAACATAATGCCTTAAGATTCATCCATGTTGTTGCTAAAGGCAAGGTTTCCTTCTCTTTATGCTTGATACATTCCATTGTGTATATATATGTACCACATATTTATCCATTCATCTATTGATGGGCATTTGGGTTCTTTTCCTGATCTTGGCTACTGTAAATAATGCTGCAATGAACATGGAGATGCAGATAGTGATTTTGCTTCCTTCAGATATATACCTAGAATTGGGACTGGTGGATTATACAGCAGTTGTATATTTAATTTTTGAGGAACCTCCATACTGTTTTCCATAGCTACTGTGCCAATTTACATTACCACCAGCAATGTACAAGGGTTCCCTTTTCTCACCAGCATTCGCTATCTCTTGTGTTTTTGATGACAGCCATTCTAACACATTCGAGATGATGTTTCATTGTGGTTCTGATTTGCATTTTGCTGATGATTAATGATACTGAGGACTGCTAGCCAATTGTATGTCTTCTTTGGATAAATGTCTCTTCAGTTCCTCTGCTCGCTTTTTTAAAGTAAACTCCACACCCAGCGTGGGAATCCAATGTGGGGCTTGAATTCATGACTCTGAGATCAAGACCTGAGTTGAGATCAAGAGTTAGATACTTAACCAACTGAGCCACTCAGGCACCTTGATCAACTTTTAATCAGATTTTTTTTGACTACTTAGTTGTATGAGTTTTTCTAATGTATTTTGTATATTAACCCCTTATCAGATATATGATTTGCAAATATTTTCTCATTCCATAGTTCATTATGTTGTTGATGATTTTGAAGATGTGCAGAAGCCTTTTATTTTTTATTTTTTTCAGAAGCCTTTTAGTTTGATGCAGTCACACATTTATTTTTGCTTGTGTTGT